AGATCTGGAAAGGCCCCAACAGTAAAGGCTGGATCAGATTCTTCTGCTATGCAACTTTGAGGTTCTCCTAAGCATTCTGTGACTCTGTTTTCACCCTCGAATGAGAAGAGCAACCCAGACCCCCCGGTTTTCTTAGGCTCATTGTGATTTTAACATAATGAGTTAAATCTATGGTATTAGTTCATTTACAAGAAAAAGAACACTTGAGGACTTAATGGACTGGCAATACACGAACCTGCGTGTTCACTAGTCAATTGTGGTATCACACACACTTTCTAGTAAAAAAAGGTATATATTGAACATATTGTTTTGGTTTTTTTCCCTTTATTTTATTAGGAGCTCTTACAGATAATAGCACAATCCAGAGTTCAATTAGGTCAAGTATTCTTGTACAATTGCTGCCATCATCATTTTCAGTAATTTTCTTTTTTATCAAATATATTGTTATTGCTAGTATTGGTTTTATCATATTAGGGAAATGTATTCAAATATTATCAAAAACAAGACAAGTTGACCATGAATTCTAAAACCATTGATCTACAACCACCACTAGCTCACACAAAAAATGAGATATTGATTATGATGTTAAAGTCCAGTCTCTTTGTTATATTGCACTCTCTCTCAAAAGGCCAGCCGTCTTGGGCAGAAGGACACGCTCTCTCAGCCCATGGATGATCGCCCTCATCGTTGCAGCAGTTGTGTTGGTGCTGGCAATCATCATCGGTCTCCTTGTTTATTTCTTGGCGTATAGTAAGTTTCTATATTTCATTGAGAATTTGAATGCCTACTCAATTTATTTCAAAACCATAATATATTCCAGTATATCCAAAAGCAATTTTTATTCAAGCAAATTTTGGTACATTTGGGGAATTATTCTTTATAAATAAAAATTACTTCCAGCACTAAAAATTTGGATTAGCTCACTGTATTATCTCTTAAGCATTATAAGATCCGATATCAATTAATAGACTCACATAACATACTATTTTGTGGTTTAACAATATTTAGTAAACTGAATAAAATTAGTGTAGAAGCAATTCTAACTTTAGGCCAACATTTGAGAATATGTTTCATTCTACCACTGTTCAATTAGTAGCTTAAAATAACCAGTTACCACTAATAGGTGGTCATTGTCTAAGGACATAACTGATGACACCAGTGACTATTTCTTAAGACTATGGTCTCAAGAAATGGCTAGGAGGATGTATCAGCCAGTAGCTATGGAATGTTTAATTCCCAGAGTTTGCCTCGTCTATAACATTTTCAGGGTGTCTCATCCCCTAAACTTCTCACTAAACGCAACCCTCTCCTTGTGTTCTCCCTTCCAGATCAGAAGTTTTACTATTACCAGGCTTCCTTCCAAATCCCCAGTATTGCATACAATCCTGATTTTTCAGTAGAACACTCAAAAAGTGAGATTGACCTGAAACAAAAAATTACTAGTGAGGTAAGTCTGAGCTTAGTGGGCATCATCATGACCTGACACACTATTGTGAGGGTTAAGTGAGTGTTAAAAGCAAGGTGAGTACATTGCTAAGTGCGCTTACATTAGAGTTCCCAGGTACAGTACACACTGCTCATTTCAATTAGAATTTTCCATTATTCTTAAAATATACCTTAAACAAGATTGACATATGATTATACAAAAGCAATACTTTTATGTGAAATCAAGATTTAACTGGTGTTCTGTCTTCCACAACATTCTACTTTTAATGTTCTGGGTGCTTTAATTCATTGCAAGGACCACATTGAACCCACAGACAATGCTCATTATTATAGGGGTTAGTATGGAAGTTAACAGGAGTCAGTTGATTTGTCAGGATATGTTACAATGTTCTCTTAGGCCTGTTAAATGTTTGTATATAGCCTCAATTGAGCCCAGTCAAAGATTATTCCTGTCATGATGAGAAATATTTCTTGAGCCAATGCATGGAAAGTGATAAAGTTTGCTGAAGGATTCAACTAGGGATATTGGAATTTTTATGACTGTTGAAATACATGATGAGAAAAATTAATATTAGTGAATTGTACGTTATGTATGACAGAAATGGAAAATATTGTGTTACCTCCAAATGGATCAAATTTTAAACAAAAACAAAATAAAGAAATTTTTCTTTAAAAATACAATTACAAAGTAACTACTCTTTTAAGTTAGAAACATTTATATTCATATCCTAATTCTATCTTCTCCCAGCTAACGAAATCACAAAAGTTACTTGTAAAATGTTGGTTGTAATAATAGCATTGTCTGAACCTGTCTAGCTTTAAGAGAATTAATGACAAAGATTAGCCCCAAACTGATCCCTATAAGGTATATTTCTAAAT